GCCAGCACCAGGCCATACACATGGGTGATAAATATAAACACTCCTGTAGGATGGGAGCAGCACTCCATACCTGCAATACACTAAGATCCCGATCTCACAAATGACTTGCACTGCCAATGACCTCAAAGTGCTCTTTTTGCAGCCAGGAGGAGGAGAAGGCAGGGGGCCATTAAGCTGGTTCTGCACCTCCTATGACTGCCCAGACACAAAGCTGACCTTATGGTTGCTTTGTGCCAGTGGAGCAGCACAAAGTACTTGTAGCAGGTACAAGGAACCAGCCTTTACTCTTTAATATTGTTAGCCAATATGATAAGTTACTCAGAATGTTTTGCATTCATGCTAAGCTGTATAACTATGACTAACATAGTTAGTATAATGTATAACTAACATTGTATTCCCCACAATGCTCTGTACTCACATTAAGCTTTACTGTGAAAACGTACTAGCTGGTAAAACTGTTTGTAACCTCTGTTGTTTGTGTATGCAGAACCCGTCAGAAGCAATGCCAAATATAAATGGTGTGTTAAGCACAGTTGGTTATCTTCTAGGGATAATTGGTACAATTAGTAGAGATGTCTTTCAAAATATGCAGAAAAGTAGATAAGAAAAGCAATGACAGGCTTGTGCTAATATAGTAAAATCTGTGAAATCTTCTCTCTGTTGTAAACAAGTGGGGTATAAATATGGGCAAAATTTAGTTCAAGATTTTGGAACAGAGTGAAAATGTAAACAGCAAGCCTGTTCTCCAGATTGGGTGAAGTATTAACCCTTTCTGTATTGTGCCAATTTATCTATGCTTAATAACTTGATTGAGCTGAGTTATCTGATATCTTATCAATACAGAATTGAGAGCACTGGTATCAATGACATCCATAACAATATCCATTTTGTACCTTTAAGAATCTAGGGCAAGGATTGGCAACCTTTCAGAAGTGGTGTGCTGAGTCTTCATTTATTCACTCTAATTTAAGTGAATTAAATGTATTAAAAAGTAATACATTTTAACGTTTTTAGAAGGTCTCTTTCTATAAATCTATAATATATAACTAAACTATTGTTGTATGTAAAGTAAATAAGGTTTTTAAAATGTTTAAGAAGCTTCATTTAAAATTCAATTAAAATGCAGAGCCCCCAGGACTGGTGGCCAGGACCCAGGCAGCGTAAGTGCCACTGAAAATCAGCTCGCGTGCTGCCTTTGGCACATGTGCCGTAGGTTGCCTACCCCTGGCCTAGGGAATATCCAAGTATGTGACTACATTTGAGCTCCCGTATTTCACTTTGTTTTTTACTTATAGATGTTTGAATTTAATGTTGAGACAGGCTCTCTGAAAATAAATTCCATTATATACTATATGAGAATCCTCATCTAATTCCTATATAAAAGGACTGTCCATCATCCAAGGCATATCATCAAATTAATCTACCTTGTCCGTATGGGTAAGAATGCAGAAAGAACATATGGTGCAACTCTGAGTTTGAAGTCTCAGCGCATCTATTTAATGGTAAGAAAATTTGCTTTGTAGGGGCAAGTGAAGAGTGACTAGGAAATCCCGACTGAGCCACAAAGGTGCTAGCTCAGGGAAAGGCATATACTATCGTAAGAGATGGTATCTGAGATCCCTTGTCATTGAAGACACTACTGCCCAGTTGTTGACCATGGTGTCCATTATGAATGCTTATCTTTGGCTCAAGAAGTGAAGGACAGCTCACATTAAATCTTGGGTGGTACAGCCAGCAATAACAATGGATAATAGTTCTGCTGAACAATATTAACTACATGCATCTACAGATTTTCTGACAATACAATTAGGACAGATGTTCTAGAGTTGACTTCCTATCCCTTTCCCCTCAAAGATGAGTTCCAGTTCAATTGATAAGGTTCTTCCCGTGTGACGGGGTGTGGGGACTGTGTCCAGTGGGGGATGAGTATACCCCATCCTTCAAGCCACCCTCCAGGCAGTGAGGCCTAAGGGCTAATGTCAACCAAGTGACCCTTTTCTGCAGGGCTATAAAGCCTAGAGGCCAAAGTCAATAAAGCTACGCTGGTTTGCCGGGCAGCCAGGCCTAGTGGCCAGAATCAATAGAGATACCCTGATTTATAGGGTGGCATGATGGCCTGAAAAGGGGTGGACCACCACCCGGGTGGGGGGGGCGGGGGAGGAGGGTTTGGTAGCTGGGGTAGGGGGACCTGGGCCCTCCCTACTCCCCGGGTCCCAGCCCAGGGCCTTGGAGGCAGCAAGTGATTTCGCCACTGAGTCAGAGGGGATCCAAACACAAGACACCGACTATGCTTGGGACTATGGCTAGTCCCTCCCCTGGGCTATTTCCTACTGTCACTCCTGCATCTGTGGCCTGGGTGACTTCAGGGTTCCCAGGTTCCTCTGCCTGGGCTGGTTGTGGTGGCGCCCAAGTCCCTGGGGTGTCTGCAGGTATCAGGGCATCTGCCGGGGTCTCAGCACCTCTGGCTTCCGCTTTCAGGGGCTGCCACTGCTCTGAGGCAGGAGCCTGCAACAGATGTCCTTCCTCTCCGGCGGTCAGCTGAGAGTGAGCTGGGCTGCTCCTTTTTAGTGACTTGTACTGCACTTGGTGCATGCCCAGTAGGAATGTGGGGGCATGGCTTCCTCAGCCCAAAATGAGGAGTTAACCCTTTCCTGTCCAGTGCGGGGTGAGTGCACCCCATCACACCCTGTATGAAAGGCAATGTGTTTCAGTGGATAGGAACTCAGTTGAGTTGGACTCAGAAGAGCTGGTTCTGCATTGGCTCTGCACTGATCTGCTGGGTGACTTTGAGCAAGTTTCTCCACCTCCCTGTGCCTCACTTTCTCCATATTTAAAATGGGAATAACCATACTTATCTGCTTTGTGAAGCTCTTAGATCTAGGGATAAAAGGCACTACATAAGACCGAGGTATATATATTTTTCTGCCTTTTGAGGTATTAAGTGGTCACAAGATGTTTCCTTGCACACAGGGATACTTACCCGTTCTTGTCTACATCCTGGGCAGTTGTGTCTATATCAGGACTATCTCTAGCATTCTGGCACATCTGATCTACTTTCTTTCAAATCTCAACGAGGCTTTGCCATAAGTATAAGGTTTATATTATGAAGTGATGTTGTTATGAATTGAGGAAAAACACTCCTAGTATCTTTGATTCAGCAAGCTTGGAATAGATGTTACGCAGACACTGCTTAGCCTAAGGAAAGGGATTAAAGGACTCAGATGATTTACTCAAACAGTAAAAGATATTGAGATGTGCGTAGTCCTAGTGGCAAGTCTGAATACACATAAATTACCCTCCTCAGCAATGAGCAGAAATTAGACAAGGAGTCACAGATACTCATTGTTGCTTGTGGATATTTTCTTTTTCTAACACCTTTGACTTCCCAACCTCCATCCTTCATAATCTGCCTCCCTTTATGAGACATTTGCAGTAATAAAAATGCATAGTTTTGTTTCTGAAATTAAGTATATGCCAATCGTTAGATGATCATTTTTAACATGGATGAAACTTGTCTTGATTTTGTGGCCAGGGTATCTAGAGTGGCTACGGATAATCATAAGGCATAGGAACACATTTAACATATTCTTATTGCTCTTTTCTTAGCTGTCATTGATACTGAGTAGCTGAACTTTTATAAAAACATGTATCAGTTACGGTAACTGAATGAGAAACTGAACTCTGCTCTGCTGTCTGTATAAAGACTGCGCTACATACAGATTTTGTACCAATATATCTAGTATAGTTAGGGGAGCCAAACTGAAATAAATATATTGGCATAATCTTCAGTGTGGATGCAGTTATACCAGTAAAAAGATGTCTTGTATTTATATAGCTTGTTCCCCTTTCCATACAGGACCAGCTATACTAGTCTAAGCAGTTACACCGGTAAAACTATGCTCACATTTAGGGGATGGTACTGTGTTAACTATATTGGTATAAAGTGGTACAACAGTTCTATACAGACAAAACCTAAAAGGTGTGCAAAACTGCTTTCAAGGATCTGTATTATGTACTTCATAGTAGTATTAGTCTGAAAAAAACCATGCATGTTAATGGGTCACATGTCTATTCTACATAAGAACACGGTAAAGAGAAAGTCCTTAATAAATTCCTATTGCTGAGCTATCTTGCAGCAAGTCAGGATACACTCAGCACACTGCAGCCGCAGCAGAAGCTTTTCCCATTACATCACTGGTAATCCATCTGCATCTTTAACCAGTACCATCAAGTCATCCAATTCACCTCACAATTATAGCTTTGGAGATCTTGTAAATTCACCCTACTTAATCCTATTGCGGTTTTATAATAAAGTGGGGTTTAATGCCTCCTTTCTGTGAAACTTTGACTTTAAATAAAGTTGAACTGGTAGTTAAATAACTGATACCTAAAGATCTTTGCTATCAACATTTCAACACTCATCTTTAGGAATATTCTCCTGGCAATAACATTAGTTTACTTGATCCCTAGGCTGGTCTGACTTTCTTGTTTTCATCATCAGCCTCCATCTGCAATATCTTCTTGATTTTATTTAACTTCCCTTGCCAGACTGGGATTTACTACATACTTTCAGCTTTGCCAACCATTATATAAATACTGTATCATCAAAATAGCTAATGGCTTAGCAGTAGCCAAATGGTGGTGGGCAAATCAGGAGAAAGTCCAGAGTATGAATTCCCTTCTGTGTATGGCCTGGAATCTGTTGGAGCAAAGATGAGCTTTTACATGCATGAACAGTTATAGGGCTTGACCATTTCATTTTTAGGCATATATTTAAATATTTACACCCTCTTTCCATTTTAAGAGCCAATATGTTCTTTAAAAAAAAAAAGTGACTGTAGCTACTGCCAAGAGACCTGCACATTCACAGATCAGCGATCACACCCTTATTCCCCAATTGCTGCACTGGGAATGACAGCAGACTTCCCGGTGCCATATCATCCTTCTCAGAAGCAGTGCGTGCAGAAAAGATGCTGAAGAAGATTTCACAAAACACCTACCCGACAAGCATATCAGCCACTGATGCTGTGGTTGGCAGTGCCCGAATCCTTGCAAGGGAACTGTGAGATCTCTGTTAGAGTGGTGTAAAAAGATCTGAGTCATAATGCATCTCTTGCACATAGATGTGCTTCATTACCATCAAAAGCACGAGCCCTTCAACAATTTACACTCCCAGATAATCTAATGCAAGTGTCCCATCTAGTGGCTCTCTATGGTAATACTCCAGTCTCCAAGTGTATTGAATATTTTCTTGTACAGCTAATGGCCCAGATTTTCATCCAGTGTGAAGCAGTGTGGCTTCACTGAAATACATTGATTTCACTCAGTTGATTTAATTGGAGCTATGCCAATTCACACCAGCTGAGAGTCTGGCCCTCTGTATGATTACAACTCACTGAGCAGGAGAATACAGATAAAAATGCAGGGCTAACTTCTGTCTAATCTGTAAGGAAATGCAATGCTAGGAGATGTTCCCAACTATTTCCCAGTAATCTGCACACTCCTAACGGAGCACTGGACAAACAAGTATCCGTCTTAGCCGGTGCAGAATTGAATGCCAGCCTCTAATACCTGCTGAGAGTGAAACAATCAAGATGCTTGTCATCTAAAACTCAGGAATTATAATGGTAACGTTGACAAACCATTACTTAAGGCACCAGGAGTGGCTGCACTAATCAACAAAGGAAGTTGTTTCCCAGTGTTAAATTCTCTGTTACTGGGTTGAAAATATGACAGCCACTGCTAATGAAGCAACTTATTTAAAGAAAATGAACAACATCCTTTTGATGGGGTGGATTATAGCTGCATTAATTTTGATGCAAGTATGGTCTTCACAGCAGCAATCCTTTTTGTCAGGGCCAGATTACAGCAATCTAAACCCTAGGCACACCACAGCACAGGGTCATCCCATGGCTCCACCTCCATCTCCCTGCCCCTGAGCTGTCACCCTGTTCCACTGGGAGTGGTCGTAGCATGGGGCTCTCATCTCTGCCAGAGGAACCATAATGAAGACCTCTTTTGCTTGAGTGCAACAGGGGTAGCAACAAGAAAAGGAGTACTTGTGGCACCTTAGAAACTAACCAATTTATTTGAGCATAAGCTTTCGTGAGCCACAGCTCACTTCATTGGATGCATAAAAGTAGAAAATGCAGTGAGGATGTTTTTATACACACAGACCATGAAAAAATGGGTGTTTATCACTTCAAAAGGTTTTCTCCCCCCCACCCCACTCTCCTGCTGGTAATAGCTTATCTAAAGTGATCATTCTCCTTATGATGTGTATGTAATCAAGGAGGGCCATTTCCAGCACAAATCCAGGTTTTCTCTCCCCCCCACCCCACTCTCCTGCTGGCAATAGATTATCTAGAGTGATCACTCTCTTTACAATGTGTATGATAATCAAGGTGGGCTATTTCCAGCACAAATCCAGGATTTAACAAGAACGTCTGAGGAACGGGGGGGGGTGGGGGGGTTGTAGGAAAAAACAAAGGGAAATAGAAAAGGAGTACTTGTGGCACCTTAGAGACTAACCAATTTATTTGAGGGGAAATAGGCTTGAATAGAGACTGGGAGTAGCTAAGTCATTATGCAAGGTAACCTAAGTTAATTGTATCCAATTTGCAAATGAATTCCAATTCAGCAGTCTCTCGCTGGACTCTGGTATTGAAGTTTTTCTGTTGTAATATCGCAACTTTCATGTCTGTAATTGCGTGACCAGAGAGATTGAAGTGTTCTCCGACTGGTTTATGAATGTTATAATTCTTGACATCTGATTTGTGTCCATTTATTCTTTTACGTAGAGACTGTCCAGTTTGACCAATGTACATGGCAGAGGGGCATTGCTTGCACATGATGGCATACATCATATTGGTCGATGTGCAGGTGAACGAGCCTCTGATAGTGTGGCTGATGTGATTAGGCCCTGTGATGGTGTCCCCTGAATAGATATGTGGGCACAGTTGGCAACGGGCTTTGTTGCAAGGATAGGTTCCTGGGTTAGTGGTTCCGTTGTGTGGTATGTAGTTGCTGGTGAGTATTTGCTTCAGGTTGGGGGACTGTCTGTAGGCAAGGACTGGCCTGTCCCCCAAGATTTGTGAGAGTGATGGGTCGTCTTCAGGATAGGTTGTAGACCCTTGATAATGCGCTGGAGAGGTTTTAGCTGGGGGCTGAAGGCAACGGCTAGTGGCGTTCTGTTATTTTCTTTGTTGGGCCTGTCCTGTAGTAGGTGACTTCTGGGTACTCTTCTGGCTCTGTCAATCTGCTTCTTCACTTCAGCAGGTGGGTATTGTAGTTGTAAGGATGCTTGATTGAGATCTTGTAGGTGTTTGTCTGTCTGAGGGGTTGGAGCAAATGCGGTTGTATTGTAGAGCTTGGCTGTAGACAATGGACCGTGTGGTGTGGTCTGGGTGAAAGCTGGAGGCATGTAGGTAGGAATAGCGGTCAGTAGGTTTCCGGTATAGGGTGGTGTTTATGTGACCATCGCTTATTAGCACCATAGTGTCCAGGAAGTGGATCTCTTGTGTGGACTGGTCCAGGCTGAGATTGATGGTGGGATGGAAATTGTTGAAATCATGGAATTCCTCAAGGGCTTCTTTTCTATGGGTCCAGATGATGAAGATGTCATCAATATAGCGCAAGTAGAATAGGGGTATTAGGGGACGAGAGCTGAGGAAGCGTTGTTCTAAGTCAGCCATAAAAATGTTGGCATACTGTGGGGCCATGCGGGTACCCATAGCAGTGCCGCTGATTTGAAGGTATACATTGTCTCCAAATGTGAAATAGTTATGGGTGAGGACAAAGTCACAAAGTTCAGCCACCAGGTTTGCCGTGACATGATCGGGGATATTGTTCCTGACGGCTTGTAGTCCATCTTTGTGTGGAATGTTGGTGTAGGGGTAGCAACAAGGGTTCTTCTTGCTGCTCATCCCCTGTGGAGGAGTAGGAATTGCAGCAGGGGGGGCACACGTAACCCAGCAAGTAGGGTAAATCTGCTTGGGTCTGGCTTGCTTCACTCTTCTCCTGCCACACGCCAGATTCCTCTGCTGGGCTGTCTAGTAGAGCTCCAGAGAGCAGAGGGAGTTATCACATCTCCCTGAGATCACAGGTAATTATTCAGACCCTTCAGAGCTCTTGTTTCAGGTTGTCTGCAGACTCAAGTAGGCATCACTGCACTGGTTACACTTAGGTAACATTTTCAAGCTTTTCTTTACAACGATGAAGTCTAGAAACTTACTGTGTTCTAAAGTGAAACCTAGGATTCTCCCTCATGATATGACTCCAAGAGCTGTGGCCCTAGGCTTGAGCCTCTAGTGTCTATACCTTAATCTAGTTTTGCTTTCGGTCATTCATGGGCTTGATACATTGTTATATTAAAGGGACCACACACAACATCTGCCAATAAACATTCCCAGCGCTTCAACATACCACTTAGAACAAAATACTCCGGGAACAGGTTAGTGCTTCCTGTTATGAAGTGAAGAAATCTGACAAGAAGCAGTCACTGCAGGAAGGTAAAGATACACACAGAAAAATAAGAAGTCACTACAACGCATAGGCTTCATGTCTTCTGGATTCAGTTCTTGCCATCTCCAATTTATTTTATATTTTGAGATTAGTCATCCCGGTATATTCAAAACCTTAAATATATAATGCATCCTTTTTGTTTTTCATTTATGCTGATTACACTCACTTGTTTTGAAATTGATATCCTGGGAAATTTGCACTGAAGATAGTTGTGGCCAAGGGGATTTAATATCATGTGTACTACAACAGAATTCCTTGCTTATTAAAAACATTAATCCAGCAGCCAAAAAGTTTATTATCCTATTGTGCATGAGATTTCTCATTTTTTCCTTTTCCCTTTTAGAAGGAAATGGAGATATTTTTGCTTGGTCCATTACAATTCATAAACTTCCCGCTCCCCATTCTTCCTAATATGAACTAGACTGGAGTGGTTTCTAATGTTGGCTTTGTGAATTTTCCATAGAGAAATGGAAACCCTTTACCTATTCTTCATGCTGTGCAGTGCAATGGAGAGGTCAAACAGGGCGCTACATGGGTATCTAGCGCATGGAGTATGAAAATATGTGTCATGTTCAGTTTTAAACATCAACTTTTTTGAACATAAAAAGAATTATAAATATTCTCTTCTTTTAAAGGTACACATGCCATGTGCTTATCTATACTGCACACTGTGTATATGCTGTCTGGTCTCTTCATGAGTAAGTTGTATCAGCAGCTTCTCAGGGAATGAAGAACTCCTTTACAATCAGATTAGGTTTTAAATGAGAAAGTTTCGTTTACACCAGATGACAATGAAAACTCTGAAGTTAGCTAGCAGGATCTTGTCTATGCAAAGTTACTCAAGGATTACAACAAAAGTTACCATTTAGTTAATGAAGCATCCATCTTTCCTTCACAGCAGTCTTGGGTTCAAACTGGACATAAGTGAGGAAATACTTTGGTGCCTCATCGAGAGCTGTGCAAAATATTTTGTTGATAAATTCTAAGATGGGCCAGGAAAAAAAAAGCAAATTGTGGCACTGTAACTGCTTTGCACTTAGAGAATGCAAAAAGTGGTGGTGGTGAACTGAAGACCAAAGGAAAAATCCATTGGCTGACACATACTCTGATGAGCTAAGCATTATCCATGTGATCAGCTGTGCTCATTCTTCACAAGGAGAACTTGGAGACAGAGGGAGGGAGCTCTGCCAGGTATCTGAGGGGAACAGCACAACTAAATCTACGTCCATTTTGTTGTAGCTGTAAAGAGAACATAATGAGCCTTTTCAGGTTTTATTATTATTAGAGGCGGTGGAGAGCAGGGACTTGGGGAGCGTAAGGATGTGGTAGTGAACTTCAAGCACACGAAGCAAATGATGTAAAAAAAATCAAATTTTAAATTGTATAAACATCAACTAACAGAAGCAAAACAAAAGGAGACCATTCATATCCAAGGGAAACGGAACACTAGGCTTCAGCTATGGAAAATCCTGGGCTGTCTGGCATTCAGAGAGCTGGTAACATAGGCCCCAGTCCAGCAAAGCACTCAAACAAGAGCTCAACTTTAAGCATGTGAATAATAACCATCCC